GTGCTTCTGTCACAGAGTCTGCTTTAAAGATGAAACATAGAAATAAAAAGGGTAACATGCAACAATAGACACATGATTGCTTTGTGTGCAAGAAACAAGGCAATTTAAAACCAGACTGCAGAATCTGGAAAGCTAGAATGCAAAAACAATCTAAACTACAAAAGGCAAAAAGTGTGAGGGCAGAAACTGATTTTTTTTTTTTTTTCAGATAATGAATATGTTTTTCAATCCAAAATTTGCACCTCATCTTTTCAAGCATGGTGTGATGGTTCAAGAGCCACAAGTCACATGACACATGACAGAAATGTCTTTATTCACCTTGACCAGTGTAAAACAGAAAGAAATGTCCTGTATGTCCCTGCTCTTGAAACCAATCTTTTGTCAGTGAAGAATCTCAAAAAATAAGGCAATGTAGTCACCTTCCAAGGTGACATTTGTGCCATCACAAAAGGGGAAATCTCACTTGCAAAGTCTAAAATTACAGATGAACTGTATCAGCTGAACTGCAATGAGATGGTTAATTCTGCCAAGGAGGAAAAACATTCAAACAGAAGTCACACATGGCACAGATGATTTGGACACGGAAGTCCTGACATAATAAAGAAATGAACTGAGAATGGCTATGCAAGTGGAATAAAAATTAGTCCATGTGATCAAACAATGAAAAGCTCCAACTGTATCAAAAGAAAATGACAAGAAAAGCCTTTACAAAGCTGAGTAACAGCAGAGCTAAAAAACTTTTGGACCTAAAGAGGTTCTAAAGGCTCAGGGTTTTTTACCTTCATGCATTCTATGCATGAAGATAAACAACCTTCTCTGTGCAGCAGCCCCCCAATACTTACCTAAGCCCCCTCTCGATCGAGTGCACTGGAGTCCCGACTATCATGGGAATCCCTCTCCTCTTTGACAAAAGAGGGAGCCATTGGTCTCACTGCTGTCAATCAAAGCCACCGAGCCAATGAGAAGAGAGAGGGGGCAGAGCAGAGCCACGGCTCCATGTGTGAATGGACACACAGAGCAACAGGTGCCCATATAGCAAGCTGCTTGCTGTGGGGCCACATGACAGGAGGGAGAAGCCAGGAGCACCAGCGGGGGACCCGAGAAGAGGAGGATCCAGGTTACTCTGTGAAAAACTACTGCACACAGCAGGTAAGTATAAAAATGATGGTATTTTAAAAAAAAAAAAGCCTTTAGAATCACTTTAACCACTTGCCCTCCTGAGGATTTACCCCCCTTCCTGACCAGGCAATTTTTTGTGTTATGGCGCTGCATTACTTTAATTGACAATTGCGCGGACATGCAACACATTACCCAGTCCATATCAGTATAGATATCCAGCATGATATTTTTCCCCATTGGGATCTGATGTTTTTTCAAAGTGTTTCTTTAATTTTTTCGTGCAGTGTCAGGGGCGGACTGACAACTCATGGGGCCCCTGGGCAATAGGGGATCATGGGGCCCCTGTGTCCTTTCCCAAACACAAAAAAGCCTATTAAAAAGGTACCAGGGGCATCTCATGGGGCCCCCTACTGACCCCAGGCCCTCGGGCAGAGCCCAAGTTTCCAAATGGTCAGTCTGCCCCTGTGCAGTGTAGTATACTGTATTTAGCCATTCTGCTTCAATCTCAGAGAAATGTAATATCTAGTAATTTAGCAAATATTACCTTCTACAATACTGTAAATGAAAATTAAGCTACTGATGTCATGGACAAGGGCCACTAGAGCCTCTTGCATAGCCTGCCTTTGCACAGCTGTAGTCCTCAACCCTTGTCCACTGAGATTATTATCCCTGACTTTTAACCCCCCTGGCGGTATTCCCAAGTGTAGCTCGGGGTAAAGTTTCAGGACCAAAAGCGGTAACCCCGAGCTTCACTCGGGCTTACCATGCGGCGCTGCTCCGGGATTTACCCTGCCCTGCGCTCCCGCGATGTCCCTCCTGCATTGTCCCCGGCAATGTCCTCTGGCGGATGCCGGCATCTGTCATCTGGGTTCCGTTCCCTGCGAGCGTCGGGACGTACGGGGGACGGAACAGCGGGAAATTTGAAAATGACAAAAAGTGACATTCACTAAATACACTAAAATCACATAGTAAAACATTCCTGTATCAAACCATTTCACATACATTTTGTCCCTAGTACTTTGTCCTGTGCCCTGCCTGCATTTTTACCGTTCTTTCTGCCTGGAAACTGAGAAATGTCCATGGCGTCCAAAAAGCGTCCCTTTAGGTCAAAAGCGGTTTTAGACCAGCTAGAGAACAGCGATAGTAAATCAGAACCACTTGCAGAATTGAGTGATAATGATTCGTGGGGAAATTCATCAGACACTGAAAACGATTTTGCAACTTTGCTCAGTGATGTGCGAACTTGATGCTATATTTCAAATTTCAGTGTTTTTTGTTTGATTATATTATTGAATTAAATTTATTATTATTATATTATTATTTTTTATGATTATTTATTAAATTAGAATTTATGATTTTTCGTGTTTCAAATTGTAACATACCCGGAATGTTTACTAGACTCTTGTTCGGACAGATTTCGGTGAGTTATTCCTAAAAATTACAACCTACAATAAAAAAAAAAACATATTTCCATGCAAAAAAATGTACTGCTTTGAGCACAGAAATATGGACATAATCAGACCGCTAGGGAGGTTAAATCAGAGGCCGGTTTTACAACTGTTGGAATAAACTCCAGCAGAGGTAGTGAGCCATTCAACAGTAATTAGCATCAAACATGCTTGGGACAAGCAGAGATCTATGCTCAGACAAAACATTTAATATAATAGAAAAAAAACAAAAAAAAAATGGCTGGACTCGATGGACCACTCGGTCTTTTTCTGTCATCACTTTTCTATGTTTCTATGAAACTAGCCCTTTTTCATAATACTTTCACTAAATATTGCATATTTATTAAAGGTGCTCTAATGTCATCTTGTAAGTGTAGCAGCAGTATTGTTTCATGAACTGTAGTTACAAGGACTGTTGGACAGATCGACAAAAAAACCCTTTTCGCGTATTCCATCACACTGGCATGCATTTGGCCATTGAGTGCTATTTTTTAGGAAGAGATTTAAAGAATAAACTGTTCTCATAGGATGTTGGCTTGATACCCAGGTCTTTAAACTGTCAAACTTTCTTTTCTCCCACAGTTGCTTAATAGTGATGCCATCCCGTAGATGCTCATTTATGAATCAGGTGTTGAGGAGGCAACATATCACCTCCTCACTACCTGTCAAACACACTCGCATCACTTTGTAGAGGAACAGTAGTGTCTGCTGCACTTGTGAATGAGCCCTTAGTTGCATCCGGCAGCGGCACTCTTAGGTCTCGTTTACATGTAAAGTTGGGGGGTAGTAGAAACCCAGCGGCTGAGTCATGTTTTTACCGCCCCCAATCCTTACCCCCTTTAGCTGCCAAAGGTGTACACATGCTGCAGTAGGAATTACACCCCCTGTTGCTTTTGGTAAGTGCTACTCCCTGTCAGTCAAGGCCCATTCAAGTAAACAGAGCCACTCTGCATCTGCATACTTCATGCTTCTGGGTCCAAGGGGTGAAAGCAGGTGGTGAGAAAGCAACACACCGCTGCCTTTTTAACCCTTTGTTTGCCTTGTTTGCGGTACTGCACACAGTTGCAGAGCACTTGCCGAGTGGCCTCATATACTTGAATGGGTCATGCTTGGCAGGTGCTACACTTACCAACCATGATAGGTTGTAGGAGTCATCACTACAGAGCAGACATCAACTTATGTAGCTCTTGCTCCCTACTACAGCTCCAACATTACAAGTAGTCCCTCTGCTCTGGGATGGTGGGTCAGCGAGCCCTGACCGTGATCTACCAGTCACCTGGCCGAGATCTACTGGTAGGTCACAATCTACTGGTTGCTGACCCCCGCTTTATACTGAATTGACCTCTGTATCACTCTGCTGCTGTTTATGTTCCTCTCTGCTTACAAAGACAGTTGCTAACTGCTATTGTCTGATGGAAGCTTATGTGAGAATGTGTGAACTGCCAGCTTTACATTGTTGCTTCACCTACCCACTCTGCCTTGCTCATATGTGCTGGATGTTTGTCAAAATGATGATCGCTTAGTGGAATACAGGATACCGATCACATTTAGCACTGTGCCTTTTCTCAGATTCCACAATTGACAAGTGCACAGCCAGACAGATTGACTAAGTACAAATGGAGCACCCTGGCCATCTTTATTTCTGCCGGTCTTGTGATGGAAATCTAATTCCAGTAGCACTTTAGTATGATACTGGTGTCTCACGGCGTGAACGATGCATGTATAGGAGTGTGACCAAGTTGGGAGACAGTGTTGTCACCATTTTAATATTTCATGAAATAGATATTTTTTGTGCAGGGCTGTTCATGCTTATTTCTGTAAACGTTATAAGAAAATAGATTTGTATATCAGCTTTCCATTTGACTGTTCCCATCTTCTTTTTTGTCATTATGTTATTTTAGTCTGGAATGGCTTATTTTTGTAAATTCATGAGGAGGTGTAGGATAGCCTCAGCCTGAGCTCCAACCAGGCCATGGTGGTTTGAGCCAGGGCTGAGGCTATCATACACTTCCTCATAGGGTTTTGCTATGCGACTTTCAGACTTTTTTTCCCCTACTGGATGCTATGAGTTGGGACGATGCTCTGTTTTTGTGAGCACACCTAGTGGTTTGTCATGCAAGAGGACCTGGTGGAGCCTTGTTGTGGGTCACAATGATTCTTGTATGATAAACTAGAAATGCTCCACTTACATGTATGATTTTCTCCTTTTTGGTACAGTGGGAAAAGCCAGTGTGTAAAAGGCAAATCAGTGTTATAGAACATTATTACATCAGACATTTGATCCTTACTTTATAAAGACCCTTCATATTGTGGAAAACCATTTTTAATTTGTGATTATTGAACAAGTAAATATAAATAAGTAAGGCAATAAAAAAAATCATAACAATGTTATATCCTTTATACCAATAAAAATGCAGTTGTGTGCTAGAGTACCTGCTGGAGAGTTCTCCATGATCTCAGCTTGATATGATCCTTGGGAAAACACTGGCCTATTGTCATTCTCATCTGATATGGTCACAATCAACAGGTCAAAATCCTGAACAAAGAAACATTATTACTCTATATGTTTAAACAGAAAGAGTGGAATTAGGCTTTCTTAATGGAAAACTGTCCTGGGAAAAAGGAGACTGATACTGCTCTCCTCCGCCTTCTGAAAATGCTCACTACCTGGCAAACTCTGACATCAATACTTCACTGACTTGGAACAAGCATGCGAATCAGAAAAGTCAAGTAAAATTAAAAATCCTGAATTGCATACTTGCTGTGCTTGCTAGATGTACTGTATTAACTTTATGTTGCCTCAACTACATACAGTATACAACATTGTGTTCTTTCAGTGGGACTTACACTTCTCGTCCCACTCCTGGAAAAAGAGTCAAGTGAATTCCAGTGAATGGCTGCTTAGCCAGCCATTCACTGGAAGCTTTGTATTTATTCATAAAATAAAAAAGCCTTCCATTAATGACTGAGCAGCACTCAGTACAACTCTATTTTGTTCTGGAAGTGGGACGGGAAGTCTCCGTCCCACTGTCAGAACACAGCGCTATATACTGTATGCAGCTGATGCTACATACAGTTAATTTGGCACACCCAACAAACGTACCTATTAATGCAATAAATAGTTTCTTTGGGCCAGCTTGGATTTAAAGAGACAATAAAGTGGAGTTGGGCTTTAATCTGGACACAGAACTAAGCAGACCTATGCAGGACTCTACACTTACAGAATTTTGTTTGAATTTTTTTTATTTCAAGAATGTTTATTTGATTTTCTCATCATTAGTGGGGTCAAACTGACGTTCCTTTTTTTTACCACAGTGATAAGAAAATTCAAGGGAACAGGACTGAAAAGTTTTCTTGAACAAATACATTTCTAACAGTATATATGGTTTTTGTTCAGGAAAGTGCATTCATTCCAAAATCAAATGTTAAAAGCAAAAGAAAATGTAAAGTACTTTCAAATGACATTTGCTAAAGGCATTGAATGTTTGTTCAAAAATATACTAGACAAAGCCACTGAATCAGCTTGACAGCTAAAGCATGTCATGGGGCAGATGCATCTGATCAGATACATCATTAGAGTGTGTGTGGGCTTAGAGACGTAGCTTGCCTTCTTTTTCTTATTTCTTTCCTACTAATGACTGCAAAGATAACATAACATAATACATACATTTACAATCTTACCTTTCTAGAATTGCGGGCATTTTCTGGATTATCCTTCACTGTTACCGTTAACTTGTACTCTGAAATTTTCTCCCTGTCCAGGGGACGATTCACATAAACGATTCCAGTCTAAGGGTCAAAGACAGAGAAAATAGACATGAAAATATAAAGGAATAAACTAACTGTATGACTGCCACTGTTTCAGTTCAGAAGAGGCAGTGAGATACATAAGGCTCATGTCCACGAGCATTGGGCTTTATTTTCAAGCATTTGACGTGTGTTTGTAATGCACCTCAAACAAAGGTCAGCAAAATCACATTGACTTTAATGAAGTAGTGCACATGGCAATTCACAGGCTGCATCTGACCTGCATGTGTAGTGCTGTGTTTCTTTATCTGCAGCATGCTTCCACAGTTGCATGCGTTTAAATGCAGCAATTGACTAGAACGCCCACTGGCTTGAACCCTAAAGGAATGATGAAAAGTAACTTTCTGTAAATATGTATTTTAAGTTTAAAAGATAAGTTCACCTTTGGAACATGTTACATGTTCCCTCCATATTTAGGGTGCAACATGTAACATGTTCTGGCTCCTGCCCCCGTACCCGCTGTCAGATTTCAAAAACAGTGAGGTGTGTGGGGCTCCTCTCACACAGCCAGGTCTTTTATTCACTGTTGTAAGAAGGGGTACACTGATGTTGGGGGGCGGCTCTGCAGACCCTGATGTAAGCGGGGGGACACTAATGCAAGGGGAGAACTGTGATATAAGGGGGAACACTATTGTAAGGGGGGCACTGATATGTAATGAATGAATTCTAATGTGGGGGGGCAATGATATAAGGGGAATCCCTGATGTAGGTGGGGACACTGATGTAAGGGAGGCACCCTGATGTAAGAGGAGGACCCTGATGTAAGAAGAGGGACATTGATGCAAGGAGGACCCTGATGTAGGGGGTAAAAATTGTTGTAAGGGGGCTTGTTGTAAGGTGGGACACTGATATGTAATGAATGAATGCTAATGTGGGGGGGGGGCAATGATGTAAGGGGAATCCCTGATGTAGGGGGGACACTGATGTAAGGGGGGCACTGATGCAAGATGGGGAACTCTGATGTAAGAGATGACCCTAAAGTAAGGGAGGTGCTCTGATGTAAAGGGGGACACTGATGTAAGAAGGAGGATACTGACATATCGGGGGACCATGATGTAGGGGGACCATGATTTAATATGGGAGACACTGATGTAAGGGGAGACCCTATTGTAAGAAGTGGGAACACTGAGGTAAGGGGGGCCCTGATGTAAAAAGTGCAAGGAGGACCCTGATGTAGGGGGTAAAACTTGTTGTAAGGGGGGAGGGCCTGATGTAAAAGGGGACACTAATGTAAAAGGAGGACCCTAATGAGAGATGGAGGGCACTGATGAAGGGGAGGAACCCTGTTGTAAGGGGTGAACCTAGATATAGGGGGGCACTGATGTAAGGGTGGGGCACTGATCTAAGGGGAGACACACTGATATAAATGGGATGGCTCTGGAGACCCTGATGTAAAGGGAGGTGTGGTTCTGGGGTCTATGATGTAATGGTTTTGGGGACCCTGATGTACAAAGGGAAAACCTGGGGAATCTGATGTGGGGGAACTGTGATGTAAGGGGTATTCTGATGGGGACTCTAATGTAAGGAGGTGACTCTGGGGACTCTGGTGTACAGAGGGTGGTGGCTTTGTGAACCATGGTGTAAAGGAGAGTTGGCTCTGCAGACCCTGATGTAAGGGGGGGGGGACTCTGATCTGAGGTTTGTAATGGAGATGGGAGATGATTTGTACTATAAGGGAGGGTTGGTGAAAAAGAAGGGTTTGTGCTAAAAGAAGGAAGAGCATTTGTGTTGGGAGGGGAATATGTGCTGGGAGGGAGGATTTGGGAGTAGAAGAGCATTTAAACTGGGGGGTGGGAGATTTGTGCTAGAAGTGGGGAGAGAATTTGTGCTGGGAGGGTAGATTTAGGAAAGGGGAATTTGTGCTAGAATTGGGAGAGATCTTTTCCTGGGAGGAAGAATTTGGGGGGGGGGGGCATTTGTGGAGATGGAGGATTGGGGGGAAAGGGGATTTGTGCTGGGGAGGGGGATTTGTGCCAGGATGGGGGGCTGCTGTACTGGGGGTGGGTGTGCAGAGTAGTGCTGATTTTTTTTTTGTCTGGAGGGGGGAGTGGGGGATTTTTGCTGAAATGATAAAGTAAGGGAAAGTATTGCTTGTAGGGGGCATTTTGCACTCTCCTGCCCCCAACACTGTGTTTCACAGCTTTGATTTTATCACTCTTTTCCTTTTGTACTCCTGACCCCTACTAAGCATTACATACTCCTGACCCTTGAACTTTGATCATTGCACACCCTGAACCCCTGCATTCTGCTTTACAGGCTCCTAAAACTATATATACTATATTGTGCATTACATAATTCTCATTCTCAAGTGTTCATTGTTGCTGGTTCCTAAGCAGTTCCTGACTATTTTAATGAAGTTCTTCTTTAGCCAGTTCCCACACCGGCCTATAGACAAATAATGGCTGGGTGAGACATTCACCATTCGGGTGGACATTGTATGATGTCCTCCCAGAACGGGCCGCACTGTGGCGTGATCTGTCACGATGATCAATCAGTGTACAGGCCGCTTTCGATATCATGTCATCGTTGTGACCAATCACAGCAGATCACATGACAATTGTACACAATGGATGGCTTTCTTTCATGCACTATGTACTATTGTGTTGATCTCTCTAATTGGTCACAGTGATCACGTGGTACCAATAACAGACCATGTATACTATGTGATTAGCAGTGGCCAATCACAGAAAACACTGAATGAATCAATTTCATTCAGTAAAAATGGTTGATTATAACAATAATATTCACTATATAAGCAATCATAATTTGTAAAAAAAAAAAAAAATCCTGATCATTTCCCCAGAGTAGTAGAATGTTGCTATGGCAACATTGTATTGCTCTGGTCTCAGCGTTGAGTTAAAGTATTAAAGCAAGAATGTCAACATATAAGGCCAGCAAGCATTCTTTTAAAGAAGAAAGCAATGGCAGCCTCCACAGGCTTTACTTATTTTTTTTTTTTTTCAATTCTTTGATTAGATTTATTTTTTTTTATGATCATGTAGGCACGGTGCATGCTACCAATTAAAAATAGATCTAAGAGGTCCCTTTTCATTAAACTACAACAATTATTTGGCATGGTGCTCTTGTTAACTGCATAATGCAGTACTGTTCAGGAAAACTAATGGAGACAACCTGATCTGGTTACTACAGATAACATCATAGATAACAAAGTCACCAGTGGGCCCACAATAATGACGGTAGAAGAGGCTACAGCAACTTCAACATGGGCAAAGGGTTCACACACTGAGACCATCAACTTACAACCATGACTGCTAAGTAGGCATCTTGTTCTTATTCTCAGTTTCTATTTTGCAAATTGGGTACTAAACAGAAAAGAAGTACCTATGCCTCAACTTTGTGCAAATATTATCTAGGTAGAACGTGTGATGAGGGGTATTAGTTAGGTGCAAAGCTCTCCTGGTAGTGGAAGGGAGAATGATTAAGCTTTTGTACTTAGCTTACAAGACACAGCTTGGAGACCACCATCTTACACCATCATTTTTCCTGTGACAAAAATGTTCACTCACAGTAGTCCTGTATGATAAATATCTATATAGCTTATACCTTAAACCTCGAATTCTGTAGTATATGCTTATATACTTTTTAACCTTTCAAAAAAGTCATTCTATATACTGTATAATTCCTTATTTAGGAGACCAATGTAGACTTACATTTTCATTGATGAGAAAAGAGTTTTCGGTGTTCCCTCCTGTTATATTAAAGGTCAGAATAGCATTACGGCCAGCATCAGCGTCACTGGCAAGAATTCGAGTGATAGGCGTTAATACTTGAGTGTTCTCACTGATGGTTATGTTCAGTGGAAGATTGAGGAGGACAGGATCGTTGTCATTGATGTCCAACACTTGCACTTCAACAATGACCTAAAATGGTATTTCGACAAACCAAACAAATTAGTGATAGAAACAAAACTACCATAAATCAATGTACTTACAAAACTCACTCTTCCTACACAAAGGGTTCTACCACTAAGGTGCTGGTGATAAACAGAACACCTCTTTAATCTTTTGTTACTAGCTGTGATATCGAAACAAACACAACTCAATGTGACAGTAGTTGAATGTTAGTAAATAATAAAATCAAAAAAATAAAAAGTGTGGAAAAAACTCATCTGAGAAAAAATATTGAATATTTAATGGCCAAACTATGTGTTGCTATTTTGAAATGTATATATAACACTCCATGAAAGGAATCATATAACATTGTTCTCTGCAGAGAGCTGTTTTAACGCAGGGGCTTTAAGGGCATTTCCTCCATTCTTGGAAGGACAAGACTCTTGACATGCTGCTTTAAAGTTCGGAGTGCCACATTTCAGTTTTTGAATTAAATGATCTGAAACATCTTTGGACTAATTAAAAATATATCCAATACATTATGTAGGCAGTTGCAGTCTGTTTTCTCCACTGCAGGTGGCCCTCAACCGTGTGGTACTGCAGCCTGGAGAGGAAGTCAAGGGAAACCTGGTTTCTCTTTGGTTTCCTGGGTCATGGAACAGCATTCCCAGTTGGCTACGCTGCATCCATATGACCCCTGGCAGCCATCTTGGTCAGCAGGGCCTTTATAAGTCCCTGCCTCCTAGGTTTTGGCATGCTTATGTGAAATGGGTAGAGTATGGAGAAAGACCCAGTCTGACAGGAAAAATGACTAGTGTTAGGGAAGGGGACAAGTAGGAACAGGCTAGGGATTCGCTATCCTCAAGGAAGCCTCCCCTCTGGGACTGGACCAGCCAGGCCGCACTTCCAGAATGTTTGTGCTTGGTTTTTCAAAATGTTTTCTGATAGGCCCAACCCCGTGAAGAAGCGGATGCACCGAAACATGCTGAGCTCTTGGTATTTATTTACTAAAGTTGGTTCAATCAGAATTTTGTGCACCTGTGCATGGTAGCCAATCAGCTTCTAACCTCAGCTTGTTCAATTAAGCTTTAGCAATAAAACCTGTAAGCGGATTGGTTTCTATGCAGAAGTGCACAAGATTCTGAGTGAACCAGCTTTAATAAATAAACCCTCTTGTGTGCTAGGTGGTGATTGTTTCAGGAGGCCTACCGATGACCAGAAACTATTCAATTCTGCTGACCTTCCCCCCATGAGCAAGTTCCCCACTGATTGGTTCCTGCTGCCTCTTGTGCTCGAGTCTCCAGCCTCCAGTAGTCCTAGTCTGCTAGCTCTGATGTCGAGACCACCTCATCCAGTGCCACAGATGGCACTAACCAGTTGGAAGATCTTACTTGGGGCCCATGTGAGGGGAAACTAGAAGATACGAATAACTCCTTGCCACCTGTGGCCCCTGAGTCACTACAGGACAATGGACCTCTGCTAGGTGACTGCTAAAGATCAAGAGAATTGCTGCCCTGTGTGTCCTAATTGTGGATAACTCCCTGAAAGATTCTTTAATTATGTTGTTTGATTGTGTTTGTTGGATCTGTCTTTACTTGGCATTCTCTTACAATACAAGTTCCACATTTTTTCTGCAACCAGACTCTGTGTTTATTGCCACCGCACCACGCTGCTACTCCTCACTATTAGTTTAATCTTAATGCTAAACTCCAGGGAGAAAAAATGCTAATGTTTATACTTCCATTTGCTCCCAAACAATCCAACATTTCATTTAAAGAAAGTTTTCATGATCATGTAGGGATTTTGCCCTAAACAGTAGTGTACCTAGCCTAAATTTAGTGCTGCTGGGCTGTAGTCAGCGTGAACATGAATTGATAGTTCTGATTTCCTCAGGTTCTCCCTAATCTCACTGTTAATGTTTGGTTCTGTCTGCTGTTGGGGAGTGTTCCTAGCAACAGTGAAATGATAAAATAACCCGAGTTATGAATATTTATGTATCCCTGGCCAACCCCTAGGAGGTTTACTGCCAGTGATGCCTACTGGAGACGGGTATAAATATTAGTACGTGACCTTGGGAAGCTCTCTTGCTTCCCAGGCTTTGAATAGGGAGCATGTGTTGCCACTAGATTTCAAGCGCCATCCAAGCCTGCTGCCTGGGGAGGGTGTGTGTTACTACAGAGATGCCCAGGTCTGTGATCTGAAGCTTCCTGCTGTCCTTCCTGTTGGAAGGTTTTACCAGAGGAGGAAATGCAGGAAGGTAACTACCTGGATTGGAGCACCAAGAGTAACATTTTTTCTGATGAAGAGTGTCCAGAAGATCTGGGTAGAAGCTGTGGACACTGCAGGACGTTCTGGTGGCTCATACATGGAGTGCATGTACAGAACAGGAACTGTTCTACAGTTTGAATAGTACAGACTGAGTGTTGATCTGGCTTACATATCATTTTTTCCTGTGCTCTGTAAGTAGATGCTGTAAGAGTCTTCATATTTGTGGCCTTTTTGAATATCCTGTGCTCTAATTCCTCTCTCCCTGAGTTTACTATCTATATAATTAACTCTGGTATATTACCTTAAAGTGACCAGCACCATACAAAGATTCAAAGATTCCATCCTTCCTGAGGGACCCCTGCCTTAAGGGGGTAAGGAAGTGCTACAATCGAGTTATACTTAGCTTAATCCTAGCTCCAATCTTTAGCACTGCATTGTGGGAAGGTACTAACAGCGTCCACATCCCATCCTGATGACATGAACATGGATCAGCCAATATTCAATCTAATGGTCTTGTAACGATTACAGTAAAGGTGTGGTGCCGTCAGTATGAGGGGGCAGAGACAGGACTGGATGGCTGTGTACAGAGAGGCTTCAGTTGACAGATAGCCTTCATCAGAAAAAGTACAACAGAGGATCATGAGACTGTGGATTAAGTGTAAGTGGGGTGTAGGTGGGTGATAGAAATTTAAAAAAATATTCAAAAATTACTTGGAAGCAAGTGAAGTGATAACAATATCCAGCTCTACTCCATCCAGTTCTGTTCATAGATCTAACACAACTATAATGTTCACTTTTATTGGCAATATACAAAGGTAATGGAGACACAACTGTAATATTTATTCTGGACGAAAGTGACCATGACAACCTTAATCTCTGCTGCTGGGAGAAATATCACTTAGCACATAGATACCAATGTTATGGCTGCGTGTATAAAGAAAGAAAACATTTCCATTTGAGCATTTCCTGAAGATACTTAACAGATACAATGCACAGACAAATATCATTTGAAAAAGCAACAGTGCCAACCGGAACTTCAGAACAATTCAGTGCATGATACTGCTTTTAAAATGCTTGAAAGGTGACAAGACCTGCACTCAATACACAACAAGAAATGCAGCTTCTACTAGGAACAAACAGCAGTATAAACCAACAATGTAGAAACCACTTTACCGTAGAACTGAATGGAGGATTGCCCCTGTCCTTTGCCATGATTGTAATATTGTATGAGGCAATATTTTCCCGATCAAGCTCATAGTCCTTTCGAACTCTCAAGTCTCCTTCCACCGATGATATTATAAAACTCCCCTTTAATGGACAGCAGAAAAAAAAGAATGTCATTCAACTAACTCACAATCATTAAACAATAAGCATATACTAAAAGCTGAACTGTATATGCATATGAACTGCGTTACTTGCCAAAGGGATTCAGTTTCATAATCCAAGTACCCCTTCCAGACAGAACAACCAATCCTGAGGGTTCATTTTTCTTCACCACAGTTAAACCTTCTGTTTGTGCTAGGACACCCATCCAGGCTTCAGATTGGGCAGTAAAAGTGAAGTAACAACCCTGTGCTCTCTCCTTCTGTAAGATGCTCAGGCAGAACTTTGAAATGCCATAGTCTCCTGAGTGCTGCCCTTCCCTTTTATAGTGTTGCATATTATACCACCATATTCAGGTATTAGTTGTTTTGGAACATACTTGAATAAACTCCATTTTTGTTTCCATAGCATAATGCCCAATAGCCATGTAGATTAGCACAGCCTTTTTCAACCAGCGGTGCCTTCTGGGTTCTTCAGAGGTACCTTTGTAGAATGCCTTAAAATTGCCCCAAATTGCCCAAAAAGTGTTTACAAGCCAGTAAGTGGCTCAAGCCTGCTTTTCTGTTACACAAAGCCACAGGTTTTTATTGTGCAACATTACAACCAGTCACTGGTGTCTTAACAACCAATGATGCCATTGGTTGATAAGGAACCCATTGGGTGCTCCTTGTTTGCCCCTCCCCTGCCCCTCTCCCTCAGCACTGGGGTCACATTAGATGAGTGAGGGAGAGAAACTGGGGGAGAAGAAGAACAATGGAATACTAGTCAGTATCAGTGTACAAAGGTGTATTTGCTTTGTAGGAGTAAATCCCCTCTAATGTTGGGTGTCCTACCTGCACGGATATTACTGCATTATGTAAAACTATTAGTTTAGTTTTTACATTTTAGAATGGGGTTCCTCAAGATTGTGCAGAAAAGATGCCACGACTGAGAAAAGATTGAGAAACGCTGGGTTAGCACATGATAACTTGACTTGGTTATCCATTTTTCAATAAATTTCTCATTGTGACCAATAAGTGCTCATTACACTGGCTTGCAAGATATTGGAACATACTGCTTTCTAATATGGACAAATTCTGTGTCCACAACATAAAGCATAAGAAAGTCATTACATTAGTCTCTGGCACCCCAGCTTAGAAAGCCTAATGAGTGCTGCAGGACATAGCCCGGGGTATTGGATCATTGCGCAGCCCAGAAGGTCCCTGGGTGTCTCAGAATATATCTCTGTGTATAAGTGATGGTGTATTGACCTTGTAACTTCAAATAAGAACTCCATGGCTTGTCATGGAGGTCTTCATCTTCCAGGAATAGGGCTTACATACCTATCATAAAAAACCCTTAACAATTTCAGTACACTGGCACCAAAAAACAGCATGTTAGTTCAGGAACAGCCTGAACTAACATGCATAGTGAACCCCACTTTGGGTGTTTTCAGACACCCTATAACTGTGACAATATCAAAATAACTGTAACGCTACCCCCTAAGGAGCCGCTGGATTTCTGGGTCTCCATATAGCTGCACAGCCAGGCAACATGCATTTTCCAACTTCTATTCAGAGTCAGTAACCAGTCCATGGGCTTGTTTTTGTTGTTTTATTTGGGGCAAACAACTTAGATAGGGTCTAGGGGTATATGGGATGCCCAACATGAGTTGAAACAGCAACTCTGAGGACAAACTTCCTATTTTCTGTACAAAAAAGGATGGATCCTGGACTCTACTCCCTCCAGAGTGTCTTCTGTCTCTTAATGGATCAGTTACAAAGTCTCTTTAAGGTGCACTTAGTCCCCTCTTAGTGAATCTCTTCAGACCCCAGCTGGAAACTACCCACCCACCTGGCTGCCTTGAAGAGTAAGGGATTCCAGAACAGTCCTCAGCACTGTCCCAGAGAGAACTTGCTGGGTATTGCGCCTGGCATCCCTCTCCCTTGTAGGCCCTGAGGGTGTAGAGTCCCTTGTATCCTGCAATTTTGCATAAGACTGCTTGTTCAGGTCTTTTAGCTGTGCTTGTCTTCCATGCTGAACAGGGTACCCTCTGAATAGGACTGGTGGTGCATTTCTCTCTGTCAAATTTCGTATCCTCCCTTCACCTTCTTCTATGCTCCAGCCTGGAGGCAGAGCCCCCCTTCCCCTGAGTCCCCTCCCAGGCCTCATGGTCCTCAACACTCCATCTTCCACCCGTTCACACCAGACTCCCCTGTTGGCTAGGCTCATATTTATGGGCCTATCTGCCACACTGCCAGGCCTCCTGCCTGGGATTGGTCAGACGCCCATGAATATGAAGATTTGGGTCTCCACCCCTCCCCCCGCTGGCTTCTAGAATATTCTGGAAGAGTCCAGAACCAGGGGGAGATACCAAAGACCTAATCTGTAGTGCCCTCCAGCCTGTCCTAAAGTAACCCAATTAGACATGCTCACCTCACTACTGTGACCCAAACTAAATTTAACTCTCTAGCACCTCCAGACGGCACTATAGAACATTTTTGGTTGTATGAGAAGGTTTAATTGTTTTGAAATGGACATTATGAAATGCACAAGAACTGTGTTTTTCCAACGATTTTTAATGTGATTTTATTGCTGACTTTACACAATCTGGTTGCACAAACATACTTAAATAAAGAGAACAACTCTTGTGGATCATTCTAATTTTTCTTGTTTTTTTAGTAAAGCAAAACCTATAGTTCCTACTTTACTATTTTTAGAAATGTGTATTTGCAAGTCTGATGACTGCTCTTAGTATCAGTTTGTTAAAATCTCCCTTTAGTTATGCTCTAATAATATAAAGCAGCATGTTCTAATACTTAAAATATTAAAATTCGTAATACATTTCATGGATTTTCAATCTGAAAACCAAAATGCCTACAAAGTAAACTCATTTTTTATGTAAAACTTTGGATTGCAAGCATTGAAAATGAAAGTATTATTAAACCCCAAAGCAAACATTTATTGTATTGCAGCTTACCAATTCTTAGATGTGATGGCTGTATTAGTTTTCTTTTTTAGGCCCCTTTCACCCAGGACAGATTCTGTTCTGATCAGCAAAGCATCAGCTCACAGATTCCCTGCTAATCGGAGCAGAGCGAGAGGATGACACATTTGTGCCCACTCATTTTCTGAAGAGCGGACGTGGACAAAACCTAATCTGTTCTATGGGCAACTGGGAGTAAAATTAATCCGCTGTCTGTTTACAATTGACTACCCTCCGATCTTCTCCACTAAATGGAAGATGAGGAATTCCTTTCTGTTTTTTCAGCGGACCCAATGGTAGGCGGGTGTAATTTGCCACAAATCAAAGTTCTAGAAGCAGTCGGTGGAGATAAGGAGTGGCTGGTCTGCACTTTTAAGGGATTCTGGCCAATCCTCAACAGTAGGTTTGGCATGGGGCCAGGACAGCCCTTAAAAGTGACATAGCCTGCTCAACAGCAAGAGATTTCAGGTAGAAGATGTAGAGGAAGTGAGGCTGTGGAGCAGGAGCTTGGGAGGGGCCCAGATGGAGAGAGACCTACCCACAGGCAGAGGACCTTGGAGGGAGGAAAGCTCGAGACTTCATCGGCTCAGCCACAGACCCACCAGCAGTACAGGAGAAGGACTGAGTGAATAGACTTGCACCCCTAGGCCAGTAAGGGGAAAGAGGCACTCTAGTGGGAAACTGGATTAGCTTTCTAACCCAGGACTGTTTCACACTGCAGTGGCAAGCAATGGATCTCCTGCCTAGGGATTCAACCATTACAGCTGGATGTGGAAAGGATTCATCTAGGGTCAGGACTGTGCAACCAGAATTTCTGGCTAGCTCTCCTGAAGAATGTTTGCTGTAAAGACATAGTCGCTAAGGACCAAATTAAAAAAGAAAAAAGCGCCATTTACAAAAAAACACCAAAGTGTCAGCAGCATATCCCACCCAAAATAAATTTTGGCAACAATAATCCTAATTAAAAAGGTATGCGCTAATAACAAACTTATACAAAGGTGTATATCAGTGGTTCTCAACCTTTCTAGCGCCGCGACCCCTTAATACAGTTCCTCATGTTGTGGTGACCCCCAACCATAAAATTATTTTCGTTGCTACTTCATAACTGTAATTTTGCAGTAGGAGGAATAGTGCCACGTCATTGGTGTCATTGGGAGGAATAGTGCCCCATCATTGGTATCAGTGGGAGGAATAGTGCCCCGTCATTGGTGTCAGTGGGAGGAATAGTGCCCCCTTCATTGGTGTCAGTGGGAGGAATCGTGCCCCGTCATTGGTGTCAGTGGGAGGAATAGTGCCCCGTCATCAGTGGTGTCAGTGGGGGAGGAATAGTGCTCCATCATCGGTGTCAGTGGGAGGAATAGTGCCCCATCATCGGTGTCAGTGGGAGGAATAGTGCCCCATCATCGGTGTCAGTGGGAGGAATAGTGCCCCATCATCGGTGTCAGTGGGGGGGGAGGAATAGTGTCCCATCATCGGTGTCAGTGGGGGGAGGAATAGTGTCCCATCATCGGTATCAGTGGGAGGAATAGTGTGCCCCATCATAGGTGTCAGTGGGAGGAGGAATAGTGCCCCATCATAGGTGTCAGTGGGAGGAGGAATAGTGCCCCATCATTGGTGTCAGTGGGGTGGAGGAAATAGTGCCCCATCATTGGTGTCAGTGGGAGGAATAGTGCCCCGTCATTGGTATCAGTGGGAGGAGGAATAGTGCCCCGTCATTGGTATCAGTGGGAGGAATAGTGCCCCGTCATTGGTATCAGTGGGAGGAATAGTGCCCCATCATTGGTGTCAGTGGGAGGAATAGTGCCTCGTCATCGGTGTCAGTGGGAGGAATAGTGCCTCGTCATCGGTATCAGTGTGAGGAATAGTGCACCGTCATCGGTATCAGTGGGAGGAATAGTGCCCCGTCATCGGTGTCAGTGGGAGGAATAGTGCCCCATCATCGGTATCAGTGGGAGGAATAGTGCCCCTTCATCGGTATCAGTGGGAGGAATAGTGCCCCATCATCGGTGTCAGTGGTAGG